TTTTGCCAAGGACCGGTCCCCCAAATTTTTTTGCCCCCTAAGAACCCACTTTGCGTCCTGGTCGCCCGCCACCGAAAATGCGACACCTTAACACAGACGCGAAAGCACACTATACCGCAGCCTAAAGGCTGCGAACAAAAAAGTTGTGTGAATGGTTGAATAAACATTTGCGAAGGCAGCTTGTTGTTGGCATGCCAGTCACCCCCGCCAGTTCACACTAGCCTAAGTTGATGGAGCTACCTTCCAAGGCTTGCGAGCAACTGCACCTTTTCAAATTGACTTACCGTGAGGGCGTGGGTGCGCAGCCTGTAGTTTGTTTATTGATGTGGTTGGGGAAGGGTACGGTAGTGATTATGTTGTGTGAATGTTTTGTTATGCCCACTATACACAAATTGAAGAGGGGGGGGGGGGGGGGTCCAGGTTGGTGCTTTATTCATGATGTTCATGGGACGCTGGACCCAGTTCCCAGCAGGTGGCACTCCCTATCAATAGACAGGAGAATGTGTGTGCATATGTATGTGAGTGTGAGTGAGTGAGTGAGTGTGTGTGTGTGTGTGTGTGTGTGTGTGTGTGTGTGTGTGTGTGTGTGTGTGTGTGTTTTGACTTTGCCTTGTGGTCAGACACTGCGCCGGGTCTCGACATGGGTGGTTATAAAGAAAAACAGATGATGCATATTGCACTCTTTGCTTGTCTTAAAAACTAGGATTACTGCCATTTAGACATGGTTCAGTTAAGAGTTTTACCTTTAATTAAGTGTCGTGCCAAGCAATATGATAACGGACCTTCTCCGGTATCACGCACAAAGGGTTTCTAACTATCGACACTAGTCAAACAGAGCCCCAGAGCGAAACAAATAACGTTTTGAAGTGGCTAGGCATTCACAGTTTTCTCTCGTTGCTCCCGCTTTACACTGGGTAGTACTTGTAGCGGCCACAGTCCCTCAGTATAACCATGGAACACTGTTACTCACAAATTTGGCCTAAGTTCATTTCTATGTTAAGTCTCAAGTTATCCTGATCCGAATAATTGGTGGAACCAGCTATGGGAGTAAAGCCTAGTCGAGATCTGGTTTTCGCTCACTACACAGTTCTCTCGAGTAGAGGGTCATACCAGTCTGGTCTCAGTACGATCATCCGTGACGGGAAGGATTCAAAGAGCAAGTCCGACTTGAAACGTTGAGTTCTGGCTCAGACCGTCTTCTGCTTAAAACGATTGTTCATTAAACGTGAGGGGACTATTCAACAATCCACTTTTCCATTATGGCAATTTCTGCAAGCCATCAAAAGATGCGCTCACATCGACCCCACACTACAAGGGTACCTGTAGAATTTGGATATGGGATTGAAAGTTCGCTCGTTGAGTTAGTCCCCATCAATCATAAATTTTGTGGGTAGATATGCAATTATTTACAAAGTTTTATTTCTCTCACCCATCAAATCATCCACACTAATTATGAGAGTCACCTAACTGAAGCTGCGACTTTTTTTTTTCAATAAAAAAAAAAAAACTAGGTAAGGAGAATAGTGTAGTGACATATGAAGTTGCACCGATGACACTAACGCACGAGATAACGGCAACATTCACAGAATGATTGTTTTCCTGAAATTTATTTCTCTTGTCAAGGTTTTCCTGACTTAAGACTGATAAGCAGAGTGCTTCGGTCCCAATCACTCGAGTGTACTCCTCATCCTAAGCCCCAACATAAAACTATTATTTTTCGTTGCGTATCAGCAAGAATCGGGCGATAAGGTGGTTGCATGAATATGCTCAGCAGAGTTGGTCAAGTTAATTTTATTGTACAAACTAGTTTTTCACCCACCCTTGCAGTTGACGATTTCTTTTGGACTTGGGCAGGAGGTTCATATTAAGGGTGAACCCGACTGCGCTCGCCTACTTGTTGAGGAATTATGTTTCATCAGATCCTACAGACACCAGATGGTTGACTTATATATTGATGTTTAACTTTGAGTTAGAAAGGATCCCTAAGAATAAGAATAGAGCAGATGGGTTAAGCCACATCGATTGGGACCAGTAGAAGGAGAATGCAGTGGAGGATGCGCCTCCGATTGATGGGGCACACATAGTCTGGTGGAGAAGGTGAGAACGATAGAGGAAGGGTCGGACCAGGTAGAGAAGCACGCGGAATTGATGGGAGGGATGTACCTCCTCGTCAATACGCTTCTGCAAGGAAACTTTGATCATATAGGCTCCTTGAATCCAGATGAGAATGGAGATGTTGTGCCAGAAAGCTAGAATGACGAGTTTGAAAAGGGAGAGATAAAAAAAACGTTCCGTGCGGAGGAGTATGACGGAATCTATCTGGAGCCAGGACTTCTCCTATCGTGTGAGATGCGGGATAGGGATGCTAGCGAAATGACTCAAAAGATAAGGCATCTTTATTTGGTGAGAGATTGTCATCTTTTTGTAAAAAAACAAGAAGGAAACCCTAGGAGGGTTATGTGTGGCAGAAACCGTCAGATTGATTTTATAGTTGCGTTCTTAGACCAAATACCCTAACAAGAGTATTTGACCATGATTTTGCAATC